TTTGTTCATTAGTTTCACACATTAAGAAATTAATTATCAGAATCATTTTAAAAACAATTTTATACAGTGCTCTTTTGGGAAATCACAACAGAAGACAAGGAGACTGATTTAACTAAGTTGCTACTGGGCCAAACATTGCAAAGGAGCCAGAGTAAAGGCAGTTCTGCCCCATCCCAGGCCTACACCTAACACCTTCTGTGGACGAATGAAGAGCATTACTCTTAATTATGTATCCACTAATAATCCTGAGGTTTGTTCTAACAAAAAGAAAAAAAAAGCTTTTCAGATGTGTCAGTGATTTTGTAATGAAGACTTCTATTGCATGAACCATTTTCCCTCCATGTTTTCTCCCCTGTAAGGAGAACTYATTCTCCAATGGTGCATCACAAACTGCTTTCTGCTCTCCTCCCTTCAGGAAAGTGTAACTTGAAAGTTATGCAAACTGCTTGGTACCATGAGGCTTGTTGAACAATGTCTATTATTCAACATTGTGCCTATATGAGATCTTCCCTCCAAATACCCTGAATAACTATAAATTATRGTATTCAAAAAAGAAAGAGAGATTATGAGTGTGTCGAAAGACTGAACCTCAACTAAGGCGCAAGGGAGATGCTGAATCTTCTGAGAGCTTTAGAAACATTCATGTTGCTTCATTTTCCATTCAAYGCAGAATATTACCCCAGGAGTAACTGGTACCAGAACACGAGGGCCTGATTGCAGTGGCCAAATGACATGCACGGAGGTTGGTGAGTGCTCTCCCACGCCACGCTAGGCAAGCACATGGCAGATGCAGCCTGGAAGACACAGCTTGCGGTGAAGCGGGACCTTGCCCAGCTTAATCAAATCTGCTGTCTGCGAGGCGTCCAAACGCGGGCTGAGTCATTTCTGACACAGCTCAAACGGCTGCCCAAGGAGCTGGAGCTGGCTGCACTCAGCTGGGCAGACAGCCGAAAAGTGCAGGAAGAGCAACTGAAAAAAGGAGATGAATTAATGCCAAAGAATAGGTTATTCAAGGAGGAAAAACTGCCTAGTGCTCTGCACTAACCCTTGGGAGAAACCCAAGGGCTGTTCCTGTCCGTTTTGGACCTAAGTAACTGAGAGAGCTAACACGTTTCTTTATCTCAATTTTCTACTTGGCATTTCTGTGAGTGCTTTGGGATTTATTGGTAAAAAAGTAATAGCTTAGAGAAGAGCAACATATAAAAGCACCAACATCATATTTCTTATTATTATTAAAGCAATTTCAAGCACTGTAGCATTGCATTTTGTCCAGTCATAGTGCTGAGCAAGACTGTTCTGTACTTGAAGAAGAATACAATAGCGAAGTGAATGACCAGTATAATGAGAGAAGGTAGAACAAATCATACTAAAGGTCCACTCTGCCTTTAGTACCCTTCAACAAAACTGTAAATTTTAAAAAGTGTCCTTGAGTTGATGAATATTGCTTAACTCATGATGGGAAAAAAATGGATTCTATTACTTACCCGAAAAACCATTTTCTATTCTTTTTCCCCTTAAGAGATGCAAGCTGAAAATAATATAAAASAAAGGAAGTAAAAATTCTCTTTATTCTGTACTGTCGCCAGAACTTCGTTTCTGGAGTCCTGGTATTTTTAGGGAAGTAATTTCATCAAGGAAGCTATAAAGTAATCCAGAAGGAAAAGGTTCTTTGCTTGCAAGCTCATTTAATGAGGATACCATTCATCTTGCAAAGGATATATCAGAAAAACTCCTGCCTTTTTTGGCAACAACCAAGAAAACAGTCCATCTTTATCAATACGGATCTGTAGGATAGATCATTACTCCTCTTATGGTTAATAAAGGAAAGCTTGTACCTTTACTGGAAGGATAAGGTCAAATGAAAATACAGTGAAATGAAAATATTAGGAACATCTACTCTAAATTAACTTAATTGTGACTCTTCCTCACCAGCGAATCTGATCACCACGCTTCTGTGTCGTGTTTGGGAAGACCAGCTTTACATTCGGGAGGAGCTTATCTACATACACGCGCTCCTTGGCTGCAAGCCTTTATGCTCCATCCTGGACCTGCAATGAAAGGATTTTCACTGGAAAGATAATTGTATTTTTAAAGCAAATCATAATTCAAGTGCTAAGTTTTGACTGCAGAAGCTGCATTAAGCCTATGGGACAGCAGTTTTCAAAGCTTTGCATTATTGGTCATGCTCAAGGCAACTTGGAAATCAAAGATTTCAAGGCTTAAACTGGTTACTGTATTTAGCTGAAATCATAGAGCTGTGGCTTTCTGATTTGCAAAAGCCCCAAACATGTTGTAAGGATGGGCAGCTCCCCTTACGAATCCAGGCTTTCTGATCATAGGTTTGTGGGGCTTTTTTGTTACCTTTTCACAAACCCCTTATATTTCATTCCTCAATCACAGCAGTTTTGCAGACCACAAGCTGAAAACCACCATTTAAAAAGGGGCTGTCACTTTTTGTGGTAAGCAAGCCAGACTTTTCATCTTCTGTCGTCAGGCAAAAAATGTCAGGATAATAAAGAGACTGAACTGAGGGTTTCTGGAGTGTGGCCCATTTAAAATAAGCCAGTAACAAAGAAAGCAGAAGACCTTCTGCAGCAGACTAGCATGAAGAACGATTCTGAGCACAATTGCAGACTTGGAAACTAAAGGCTGGACTCCTGCTAAAGAGGCTAGTCACAAGTGGCTAATACCCTCTTTTTTTTTGTAAAAGAATAATTTCCTCTACAAGTTTCTTGTGAAATACTTTTTTTTTTTCCTAGAAATAAAAGTTGATGTTCTAAATAAACACAGTTCCATAGCAAAGATAAGGCACTYCTGGTCTAACTTGCAATCTATCCAATACATCCAGCGGCTCTGGATGTGCTTTCCTTGTGGACTGCCTTCTGGCTGGAGTTTCAAAACCCACCTACTAACGGSCTTTCAGGCTTAAAAACTTGAAACTTTGACTGTGCTTCAGCTCAAAAAAGAAATAGTTAAACCAGCGATAATTTCTGGAAACCTTTTGGGTTCTAAAATGTGGCAATTATTTTTCCTTTGGAAAATATTTGATTAGCTCTATCCGCTATAGCCATTTCCTGCTTCATCCTCCCCACTTCCCAGGTTTTTCAAGTGTATAGAGAAGAAACAGTCAAAAGCTGCTGCAGCTCTGGCAGTCTCCTATGGTAATATTTGGATCAAGACACATAAAGCAAATTCAGAACAGACTCAACTCAAAGATGAGCTAAACAGTCCCAGGAAAAAAAAAAAAATAAAGTCTCCTCAAAAACCCTTCCATGCTCTTAATCCATCGGAAACAACTACAGAACATAATCAACTCCCTGAAGATAAGAAACAAGCAAACAAAAAAACTGCGACAATTCATTAGAAGTTATTTTTCTCTGGATTAAAATTCATCTCTAATTGTAGTTCTGTGATGCAGCTGGTGTAATAAAAATTTAAAAGAATAAAAGCGAGAACAGCGCAGGTTTTTCTGGTATAGCACTAATCTAAATTTTCACGATAAAGGTCAATTTGTTTGCATAGCGTTTTGGATACTTCAATAAAATGATTTGCCAAGTAGATTTCTCAGACCTGTACTTAATTTTGGGATTCTTTTTTTTAGCATAAAATGGTTAGGATTGAGATCAATGCCAAATTCTCATCAATGTCTCGCAAGGGGTCTCCACCATTGGAAAGCTTTGCATTTGTTCACTGTGCCAACTAGTCCAGGCTTTCCTTTAGAAAACACATGTAACACAAGCCAAGTTCTTGTAAAGACCTCACAGAAGATTTGAAGCATAATCCATCCTGCTTCTACTCCGTACAATAAAGGATTAAAAATAGGTGTTAAAATTTTTGATTTCAATATTACAGTGTTTACATGAAAATGTGACTGCAGAACACAATACAATTTATTTAAAGATTAATTCACTGAAAATAATTCCTTGCCACTGAGGAAGACATCCAGCGAACTAATATACGTTGTACTTTGTTATTTCAGACAAAGAACTTATCAGGAGTGAGTCAATACTTACTGTGGGAAAACACAAATACCACACAGAAAACAAGTGACTAGTTACTGATTTTGTCATTCCCTTAACCTTACAAATGGCTCAATGCAGGAGCACCAGCTGCTGGAGTCAGTGTGAAGCAGAGTACATGGAGGTAAGCCTGAATCATCACGTGCAGAAGGCAAAGAGCCAAACTCTTCCTCCCTGCTCAAAATGCCCTGCCAAGAAATCACGATTAGTATACAAATAAAAATGGAAACGGGACAAGATTACAGGGAGAAATGGGATTATGGCAATGACCGGAAAACTTCTCCCTTCTAGTGTTCCTCCTTTTTCAATAAAAAGTTCAAGAAAGATGAGCAGGCAGCGGCAGGAAGAAAACTTTTACTTGAACTGCAGAAACAGTCTGAAGAAAGATACTTTTAAAACACATTGGAAGTGGTAAAAGCTTAACAGCAGCTGAAATATTTAACTTGTTGGTTGTCTTGATGTATTTCAGAAAAACATCATTTCAARCAAACACTGTATCTTTTCCTGCAAATGCTCGGGTTAACACAGAGGAATGGGAAGAAAATCAGATGATAAGCAGGGATGTAGGAACCAAGGTCTCAGTTCTGCTAGCCCAGACTGCCTACTGCTACACACACTGTGTCTCACTAAGCACTGCACAAATGTTCATCAAGTTTTACAAGCTTTCCCTGAAACGTCCCAAGAAGTCAGGTAGTCAAATTAAAACAGTTAGATGTCTGCTGAAAAGCAAATATATTTATTATGCACTTTCATATACACAGGGATTTTGGCTTAATATAATACAAGGAATAAAATAAAAATTTTACAATGTGAAATTCATTCAATGTACATTAAAGGCTATTTACAACCCACTCCRAGAAAAACAGTCTATCTGCAAACCAAGTTAACTGAGGAGTTCAGGTGGGGCATATTAAGCATAACAGATGTTTGCATAGCAGAGTAATTGATGAGGGAAAATATCTTTTTAATTTCAAATAAATGGCAATGCTTTCAATACTGATCACAGAGAGGACAAAAAAATGCATCATTGTGCCTCAATACCCCTTAATGCATTTTTTGTTTGAAGAGCTTCTCCACATGCACACAGTACTGATATTAGTGTTCACAAAACCCTCTTTTTCCTAGCTTTTCCATGAAGGAGAGTAGATGCCTTGTGGAGATGACCTTGAAAGGATCAGTGAAATGTGAAGAGAAACAGCATTCGTGTTCTATTCAGTTTTTTTTTAAGGTTGTGAGCATTGTTACGTTGATGGAAGAAACTGTGCTGTCACAGCTATGCAACTCCATTCGCCTCCCTTCGCCTGTACAGATGTGAAAGAGCAGACAGGAACAACTGGGGGAACAGCAACTTTTCTTTGTATACAGAAACCTCACAAATGACATTAAAAATCACAAGCAAGAGCAACGTGGAATGCCTCAGACCTTTTGAACAATCTGATTTTTTAAAGCCATTCATGTCCTGTTCCAAAGTGATGCCCAAAATCTTTAACTGTTATTTCGTTCTCAAAACATTTTCAGTGGATCTGCTTTCAGTTGATGTAGGGGGGATATAAGGCTTCCCCATTAAATGTTTCAARTGTAAATATTATTCACACACAAACCATCAGGCTATCTAGAAACCGCAGCCCCTTGTGAAACCGGCCATATTTTTACGTCCTCTGTTCACAAGGTTCATTTATAACAACACAATAAAATTAAATAAATATAATTCCAATGACAGTCAAGGTCAGTAGAAGAACGTCAGCATTCAGGGACCCCTTTCTACAGAACAAAACATACATCTAGTAACTATGAAAAGTCTTATTCTTGCAGAGTATTGCAAGTGTACTGTACTTGAGGTTCAGAATAAGTTTGCTGAGAACATTTTGGTACTCTCTCTTTACTTAACCACTAACTCTCTTAAGGCCATTCTGCAAGACTCCTGTTACGTTGGTTTTATAATTGTCCCACGGGGACAAGAGATTCAATACATGAAACAYTCAGAATAATTAATATTGCTGCGTGTCAACTTTTAACATGTGAATTTTACTATGCACTGAATGCCTCACTATAAAAGATTTCCTTTTTACACTTAGTAGCAAGTGAAGAATGGAGAGGCAGGATATTAAACAACAACAACAACAACAAAACCTAACTTCAAAAATGTTCTAATGATGGTCAACCATAATAACAAGACATCGAACCCTTTAGTGACTCTGAGTATGTACTAGATAGACATCCAGGGGGCATTTATCAAAGTTTAAGGATAGCCATACATCTCGTTAATCCTCTCTGAAAAATAACCTCAGCTTTTTATTATCTTACTTGTGGAATGATCAGAATTAAGAGCATGAAAAAGATGAAAATCAACCCTTGAGAAGAAATGCTCATGTATAAAAATAGCCTTATTTTCTAAAGAGTAAGGCTGTGTAATGGTGAATAGCAGAATATAGCTTGCATTTTTAGGAGAAAATAATCACTTGCTTCATTCTTTCACTCATACAGCAGTGCAAGTAAGTTATGCACATTCAAAGGAAAAAACAAATCATACACTGTTCACTTCTCACATACAACGGCCTGGATTTTTCCCTCCTTTACACAAGCACAGGTTCCCTCCTTGCTAAGAGGGGAGAACCAGCTTCCCCTTMCCTATAGCTGGACCATCCAGGCTCCTGATAACCCTGCTCCAGGTAYAGGCATCCTCATACTGGCTGCACACAGTCCAGCTGAGGACTGGGAGCAGTAACTACATCCATACAAATTTGTGCTATACAAAATTACCACCTCAAGACAGCACCAACTCAGTAATCTCTGTACTCCACAGCCAAGGGTTTACTAACCTTTTGTCTTCCCATTATACTCTCACTGCATATTCTCTCAGCCTAATTAACAAAGCTTCTGTATCTTCCGTGCACTTGTCAATATTATTGACATTTTCAACAGAGTCCTTGCACCTGGAAAAATAAAGAGCTGACTGTTTCTACTGTGGGAAATACACATGAAGACAGGACCAGACCCTTTTTACTTAGCACCTAAGACATACCCATATTAAGTTACTTCATTACCATAACAATAATTAAGACTATTTAAGATCGGGTGTCCAAGCCCAAATGTGCCTATCGCTCTYGGCGGCCACAGCCTGCCATCCCGATCCGGTGCTGCAATGCCACATACTGCATTCCGTGTTTCACAACAATCCCAGAGGTCCCGCGGATGGTCGCGGCCGGACCCTTTCGCTGCCACTGAACAGCTATCGTACAGACAAAACACACAAGTACAGTATTTATAAAATACTGTCACAAGATTTGTATTGGAGAGAACTTGGTGAAGTACACAGGAAAGTGACCATACATTACAGCAATGCAAGTGTGACAAACTGCTTATTTTCTTTAGCCACAGGAAAATAAATACAAAAAGCACCGCCTCTGCTTACGCAGTTCACTGTGGCACATGCACCTCTTCCAAGCATTCTGAAAAAGAGATCAGAATTCCTTGTTCTTACAATTTTCGGCTGTTGTCAGAGAAACACAGCAAATRTCTTTCTGCAATTAAAAACAAAACAAAACAAAACAAAAAGTGCTCATTCGGTGTGTTAAATACAAAGTACACAAAATAAACTTCTGAAGCACAGAGGGTTATACTGAGAAGGCAGCCTTAAAAATGGAGGCACGTTACAGTAATTAAGGTAACTGCACTGTAATAATCACATTCTTAAATTTCTAGGTGGACTGAAGAGGCATTGTGTGCTTTCATCGCAGCCAGCCGACCGACCATTCCGAGCAGGAGCGCCGCCTCCCTCCGCGGTGTCGTGGAATTCACCTGGAAGTACAAAACAAGAACGGTAAGTTTTGGAATGTTCCTTAGCATGGCATGGGAATGGGAAACACTCCTTGGCGCAGTGTTGTCCGCCTGACAGCGAGGTGGTTTCTGATTCAGGGTGAAGAGGTGCAGCAACGTCGGCAGCTAGAGAGCGTGCGGAATCGGTCACCTTCCCGCTCTGTGCACAAGCAGGGACCCCCTGCAAATACACCCTGCCCTTTCCAAAGGACACTACTTGCTCCAAGAAAGGAAAAGCCTAACGYGAGCTTTAAAACTGGATGTGTCCTCTTCCAATTTTTATGTTTTCTGTTTATATTTTACAATCAACCAAGATRGAAAATGCTGAAGAGTGTGCAAAAGGGACTGTTTTATCTGTGCTCCCAAACAGCACTGGTCTTTGGATGACAGGTCAGGTCAAATCACTATTGTAACATGATGAAAGCTAACACTGAAAAGCAGGCTTGGACATAGAGGAGTTATAAATCACAACTATTAATGATATATTTTCATATATCCCACGATGGCAGGAAAAAAAATTACAGAATAATTTGAATCCCATTTTGGAGACCATGTAGAGCTAAGGCCCATGCCCYGTCACCCACCTATCCCAAATCCCTGCTCCCAAAGTTCTGCCTCTGCACATCAGCTGGCTGCAGAGTTCACCTCACCCTTTAGGAAAGTAATGCCAATATTTGTATTTTATAAACCCTACAGGATCTGGAATATAGCTTTTTCAGAATATTTATTTTAAACATTTTGATTCAACTAAAATGCTAACCACAAGAAAACGTCTTCAGGTCCTACACAACATTGCAACTTCCTAAAACTCGCAGGAGATCTCAGCTAAACCTAGACGAGCACATTGCACTGAAGAGCGCTCTCTTTCCAGGGCACTTGAGGACAGACACAGTCTACGTGTTTTTGACAGCTCAAAAATCTCTCATTTGGGCTTTCTGAGACATCTGCAACTGTCCTAAAAAAGCCGCAGTCTTTGATGACTTGCGGCAGAACTGAGTCAGCTATTGAGAACATTTTTGCTCTGAAGAGCAGCAGTCTGGTCTGTCAGAAATGCAGGATTCACACAAACAAAAAAAACACCTTTCCAGAAATAAAAAATGAGAAAATATATGCATTTCATAAAGATGGTGCKTCTTTAAAATTCAAATTCATAATGGTATTAAAACATTTCCAATACCTTAAAAAAGATAACAAAGTGCATCAGGATGAGGGAGAAAATTAGTTCAACTTCAGCTGACTYGCTGACAATAAATGTTTGAAAGAGCTACACAATATTCCGTTCTCAGCACAAAATTGGGCATTGGAAAGAAAGTAAGAAATCAAAACGAACTTCATTGATTTTCTTATCTTATTCTTAAGAACTGCAGAAGGTCTGAACTGAAGAAAATTAGTACCGTAACACAGATCTAATCTTCCTGGGAGGTGCACCATCTCTTTTCAAGAACAGTTACTTCACAGTAATGGAAATAGAAAAAATATTGCCTCAGGTCATATTTCAACTTTTAAATTTGTAGATAATTCTGCTAGCTAAAGCATTTGAAAATGTTTCCAAGCTGAAGTCAAAGAAAAGTAAAATGGAGGTTTCTAACAAGCAGGAATCACCAAAAGTTTACTGAAAAGCCTTTTTGCAAGTATGACTACACGTTCGATACAGACAGAATTTCTATAGGCAGGATTTCACTGGTGACTGTGTGTTTCAGATAACACATTTGAAAATTCCTGAGGTGCCCTATATTCCAAAAGGTAATTAGAGTTCAGTTATATACGTGGGGCAAAATTTGACCAATCCAAATTCAGCAGCAAATGTCATGGTTATCCAACTCCTATAAGGACAACCAAACAAATGCCTGCTAGGTTACGGTTTTAATATCTCAGTAAGAAGGCAATTACGATGACATACTTCAACGAAATATATTTTATACTTATTTAAAACGCACACGGCTAAACACACACGTTTGATTCTTTCGTGACGGGGTGGGTTACCTTTTACAAGGGCGTTTCTTTCTTGTAGTTGAAACTTGGGTCACTGCCTTCGATCTGGAGTTTTAAGGCTTGCTTAAGGCTGAGCTCTGTCTCCGCGGATGGGTAGCCTTCCAACACATCCTGATGCCCTCTATCCTGCACGGTGCGCGGCACAGAAACCCTACCAAGGAAAACCTGATTGCTCTGAAGGTGGTAGTTGGGATTTGTCATAATCCCGTTCCTCTTCTTCTGCTCCCCGCTCTGCTGGTGGATGAGGAACTGCTGCTGAGACCGGCCGACTTCTTGCTGGGCAGGCGGGACCAGAATTTTGCACTGCGGCTCTGCTGGCACGGGTTTGTGGGGCACGCTTGCCCCCGATTTGGCAATGGGTGCTCGCTTATCAAACTGAGTCATTTCATACTCCAGCACTTTTGGCTGAGAGGAACTACTCTGCTTTCCTTTCTTTCCACCCGACCCAGATTTGCTGGAGTTGTCCGTCTTCCCCGCTTTGTTTGTTTTAGTGGATTTCAAGCTGGGTTTTACTTGGCTCCACTCAAATTCGCTGCTCGGAGAGTTGTGATTTTGACTGAGGGAATGGGTTGTGGACGAGGGAGACACGATGGACTGCCTGCTTCTGCTGCGCGGCAGGGAATGCTGCTGGATCTGCTCCGTGAACGACATGCTGTGGAAGCTATCGATGGGCACCGTCTGAGCGGTCGCAGTCGAGGACGTGGTACGGAGAGAGGAATTTTTGGAACTCTTCAGGGAGTTATTCGACAAAGACGACTTCTGGCGGTCAACCGTGGAGTCGGGCGACTCRGAAGGGGAACTGAAGGCGTGAGCGGGCCCGTTGGACAGGCCGCGCACGCCGGGCTGCGCCTCTCCGCCCGTGCTCCCCGAGCTGTTGGACTTCATCGTCAGCGACTGCATTTTGGAGGAGACCGACTGCAGGGGCTTCTGCTCCATCGTGTGCACCGGGGACGGCGTGCAGCCGTTCAAGGTCGACGCCCCGTATTTCTCCAGCAGCTTGATGATCTGGGAGTGTCCGTTCTTGGCCGCCACACGCATGGCGGTGCGGCCGAACTGGTCGGCGTGGTTCGGGTCGGCGCCGTGCTCCAGCAGTATCTGCACCACGTCGATGTGCCCCTCCTGCGCCGCGATGCACAGCGCCGTAGCACCTTGATTGCACGTGTGGTCCACCAGGGCCCCGTGCTCGATTAGAAGCTGCACCACCTTCACGTGCCCTTGCCAAGCAGCCGACTGCAGAGCGGATCTCTTCTCGTTGTCCGCGGCATTCACGTCGGCGTGGTACGTTATCAGCACCTGCACCATGTCCAAGTGGCCCTGCCAGCAGGACACGTGCAGGGCTGTTCTCCCTTCAGCATCGCTCGCTTCTACGTTCGCACCGTTTTCTAAAAAATACTCAGCCATCGTGAGCTGATTCTCTAACGCTAAGATGTACAGCGTGGGTCGGCCATCGGCGTCTTTGCAGTTTACGTCTGCTCCGTGGCTGAGCAGCAGCTCAACTATATCTCTGTGACCTTCTAAAGCAGCAACCCGGAGAGCGTTTCTCCCATCATAGCCTCTCTGATCGATGCTGGATTTATTTTCCAGTAAAATCTGCACACAATCATAGTGGCCTTCCTGTGCAGCCAAAATGAAAGGAATACGGCCATCATTATCGATTTCATTTGTTCTAGCACCTTGTTCGATAAGCGCCTCGCAGATCAACCGGTGACCTTCAAAAGCTGCCATGTGCAAAGGGGTCCAGCCTGCGTCATCTCTGTGGTTTTCATCTAGCCCCCTGTCCAGCAGAGTCCGTACCACCTCCACGTTGCCCTGTGCAGAGGCTATGCTCAGCACGGTTCTCCCTTCGCTATCGATGCTATCGACAGCCGCGCCCCAGAACAAGAGCGTGTTCACAACCGACGCGTGGCCCATGGAGGCGGCTGCCAGCAGCGGCGTGCGGCCGTTGTTGTCCGTGTGGTCCACGTCAGCTCCTCCCTCCAGGAGCAGGTCGACAACGTCCACGTGCCCTTCGTAGGCGGCCACCAGCAGCGGCGTCATGCCGTCCTTGTCGCAGTGGTCGACCTCGGCGCCGCGCTCGATGAGCAGGCTCACCACGGACGCGTGGCCCTTGCTCGCCGGCACGCACAGCGCCGCCACGGACAGCGCGGTCCTCCCGTCCACGTCCTCGTGGTTCACCTCCGCACCGTGGTCCAGCAGGTGCTCCACGATCTCCTTGTGCCCCATGTATGCCGCCGCGATGAGCGCCGTCCGGCCCTCGTTATCAGCTTTGTTCACCTCAGCGCCGTGCTGCAGCAGGTTCAGCACGATGTCCTCGTGTCCCCCCCAGGCCGCGGCCCGCAGCGCCGTGCGGCTGTCTGCGTCTGCGCAGTCCACCTTCACCCCGGCGTACAGGAGGGCRGACACCACCTCCGTGTGGCCGCCCCACGCCGCGGACCGCAGCGCTGTCCAGCCGTCGTGATCCGTGTGGTTGACRTTGGCACCGCGCCCGATCAAGCAGTTGACCACCTTGGTGTGCCCCTGCCGAGCGGCTAAGGTGAGAGCTGTTTGCCCATGGGCGTCTTCGACCTCCAGGTCGGCTCCCCTCGAAACGAGCAGGTTGACCACATCGAGGTTGCCACTGTAYGCCGCGTTGGCCAGCAGCGTTCGCCCGTTGGAGTCGCACTGGTTTACCGAGGCTCCGTTGTCCAGCAAGGTGCGGATGGAATCCTCCCTTTCCAGAGCYTGCCGCACGATGCAGGACGTGCGGTCATCCTCACTGTTGACGTGAGCGCCGGCTTTCACCAGCAGCTGCAATACTTCTTGCTCCTTAGGAATCAGGGTGGACAGGGAGTCCTTGACAGGCGTGCCGTTCCAGATCATCCACAAGGCCAACTCGGAGGTCTCTAACTGTAAGTTGGAGTGAATGAGATGCAAGGCAAATTCTTGAGCTTCTAAAGGTGTTAGATCCTTTGCTCGGCAGGTGTAACTCATGGCCAGCATCCTGTGCCCCTCGGCTGCGTTACACAAGTATTTCTGCGTGCAGTGCTTTACGTCCAGCAGCCATTCCGCAAAACTGTAATGAAACAAGATTTTTGTATTTCCAAGACCATCGACGAGGACTTTTGACAGCACATCCAATTTGCGCTGGAAGTCTTCCAAGGTCAGCGTCATGTTTTTGGTCCACACGGCGTGATACAGCTCCATGGTGGTTAAGGGCCGGCACGCCGCAAGAATCACATTCAGGATAGGCTGCACCTTGGCAAATTGTTTCCGCACAAAAAGTCTCTGGCAAAGCCAAAGATAGAGGCCGTTCAACGTCCCTGGAATATCGCGGATCTCCCGCAGCATGATGAAATTCTCCACGACGCCGTCCAGGACACGTTCCAGGTACAGAAAGCACCCGCTGCTTTTGATGTGAAGCTGGTTCAGCATTTCTGCGGTTTCCTTGGTGAGGTGCTGCCTCAGAGCTTCTTCCTGATCCAGCCGGTGCAGGATATACTGCTGCACATCCTTCACAATGTAGGCCTTCCGCAGATCATCCAGGCTTATCTTCCGAAAACCTGTCAGAAGAGAAGAAAGTTGCTTATTTTTGACCTAGTTTTAATGGAAAGTTTGACTCAAAGTTGAAAAGAAGAAAAACTAAAAACTAAAGGAAGAGAGAAATACTTCTGGGTAGGAAACAGCCACAACTATGTATTTTGCATGTACAGATAATGAATGTAAATTTGTATTAACAGCACTTTAATAGATACAGATATTGTTTTATCATAATCTACTTGAAAAATAAATGCGTTTTACCGTTTTACTAAAGGAGAAAGTTTTCAAAATGACTGACTCGTGTTGTGTGCCTTGAACAACACTAACCACCTAAGCGAAAACAAAAAAGCAAAGCCAGAACTGCAACCTAAATAACATTATTAAGTATTATTATGTAATTAAAGGAATAATCCTTTTTCTAATTTAGGTAGCACTGTTCCTCTAAATAATTTTAGCTATTTAGATCAAGACAACCAATACATTAATAAATTGTAGACAAGATCATGCACACTTGGTTCACAGGTATGACAAAATGTATATAACAAATGACTAACTAATTGTCTTAGTTTCTTTCTAAAGCCTTTATGATGAAGAGTGATACTTAAAAATAGCATTAAATATCTTTATAACCCTGCTGATTATTATATTATTCTCCAAATAAAGACTGTATCGCATACAGTCACCCTAGCTCTTAGGTAGGTGACTCATTGTGCAAGTTTTCTCACAGTCTTATGATCCCATTGTTATTCCAACCTGTTTGCACTTGCAAGAAAAGAAGGGAAATTATTTTGTGCATGTATATGTACACTGGGGTTGGCTCCTCCCTAGATGCATACACACACACACACACACACACATACACACACACACACGTATATATAAATACACAGACTCTGTGTGTTATCCTTGCAGAAATATTTTTAGAAGCAGCTGAAGAACAGTCTCCAGGGCCACTCTGGTAGCAAGACAGCTCTCAAGAACGAGGCAGAGAGACAGAACAGAGCATATAAACAACATTATAGTTACATGGATTACACAGTGGATGTAACATGGATTACACAGTGGATCTCTGTTGTTTAAAACATTTAAAACAGGAAAACCACTGTTTACTGAAACAGCAACTTAAACTACTGAGCTTAATATTGTAATTTAGGACAGATTTGTACCTTGCTCCTGCAGGTTTAGATCACATGTACCAGGACAGCAACTTGCAGTTGCCCTTACAGTCAGCTAAGACAGTCACAAAAATTCACTTTTCAAACCAAAAGCAGTTACTGGTCCCCAAATTATACTGAAGGAAAAGCAATTATCTAGTAATCCATTCAGTTCAGTGCAGGCTTCATCTCTACCGAACAGTTTTTTAAAAAGCGTCATTTTCTTATCAACGTTTTTATTTTTATTTAACTRTTGTATGGATCAGACTGCTCAGTCATGAGTGTTTAACTGAAAACAGCCTGAAAATTAAGCACTGTGTTTGTTCCCGAATGCCTTCAGTAAAGTTCCTCAATGTTGAATTAGGTTCACTCTTAATTCTTTAGTCTCCATTAGCACGGTACAAATGTAACACACTACAACRAAGGGGCAAGTTCTGGGGATGTTACTGCTGTAGTATCCTACTTGATTAGTTACAGTAAATATATGAATCTAAACAGGGCTGAATCAGTAAAACAAAAGTAGGCCGCTCCTCCAAATAAAATAATCCTGTAGGACCAGACAGACATTTTTCACACTAAGACTAACAACAGTGTCCCTCTTATAGATATTTGAATGAGAAGGTAAAGAGACAGAAAACAAGATTTTGGGTGATTGCTCTTTATTGTACAGGGACATTATTTTAGCTCTCCAAATAACAAAGAACCAGCTTTATCCACCATAATTTATCACAACTTCTAGCAATGTCCTAACTTGACCTGCAGTATGGCATAAATCATTGTTTTTACTACCCAGTTGASTAAAATATGCTGTATTCTACTATGCAAACCTCATATCTCATGCATATAAGTATGCATGAGGCTCTGCAGACTTCTGAATGCATCTCACTGTAAATCATTTTCCTTGTGATATCTCCAGTCTTTCATGTCAATCCCATACTCTGGGATTCTTGGGAATCTTTCCTGCTTACATACTTACATCCTGTTTAAATAACTTAAATGCTTTATCAGTTTTATACAGCAGTCTATTATGTCCCACCAAATAAGAACCTCCTCGACAGATGTGTGTGGCAGCCATCCCGAAATCCTGGTGGTGAAAAAAGATTAAAAAAAACAAACAAACAAACAAACAAACAAACAAAAAAAACCCCACGAGGCTGTATCATTACTTTTTCCATGTTACAGTCGGGACTATCACTCCACTCTGTACTCACCTGGGACATGCCAAATGTGTAAACACTTCAGACAAGCAAATAAATTGGCAAGCACTTCAGAGCAGAACTCGATCAAGTAATTTGATTGGTTCTACTCTCACCCAAACCGAAGGTTTTTTTTGGAATATTTCAAAATAACCCTTCTCAGTGAAATCTTACATATTGTATTGGAAGATAAGCTTGTATAATAACAGTAATACTACAGTCATACAGATTTTTGCAATATCCAAAAAACAGGCTCTCCCTAAGAATTGGGATGAATAAAACTGCTATTAGACTTTGGAACACATATGGATATTAATTTTAGTCACCTCTATAATAAACAAGAAAGACTTTATACATAGAAAGCATCTTAATAAAAACTCTGAAATTCCTCTTGCTAGTTTGAAAGGGAATAAAGATGTGGTTTGGGTTTTTTTTCCCCTGAGCATCTACCTAAATGTGGTCAACTTGCATTTCCCAGCAAAGCTGCTGCAAAGCCTCCTATTCGCCCCACCAGACACAAGAAGTCCTTTTCCCAGACCAGCAGCATCCCAACACATGGGGAGCGAGCGCGTTGCGTTCCAGCTGCCTTCCCGCGAGCCGCCTCGCTCCGCAGGGCGGCCCCACGGCCCTGCCTGCTGCGCTGTGCAGACATCTCTCAAAGCACATTCACCCCAAGAGCAGCTCCAATATGGATTTTCCTGATTTACTGAATTCCTGGCAGCTCTGTAAACAAATCAGTTCCAAATGTACTTCTTGGCAGGCTCTGGGGTCAGTCAAAGGAGAAAAAAAAAGTCTACAGCATGTCAACCTTTTCAAACTTAAAAACAAGGACAAGGAGGCTCTGCTAAATACTTAAAAATATCCTTTTTAAGATACTAACTAAACACATTTTATTGCATATATTTTAAATAGGCTTTGACACATCTTGTTTAACTGCATTGTTAGCTTTAAGATAATCTAAATGATTAAAACCATGGCAATATATTGACATTAAAAATATACACTGTTGGTCTAAGCATGTATTAAATTAGGAATTTCTATGGCCATTTATTCACGTCTGTGCAAAATGCATCCAGCAGAGTAAATAGCACTGAAAGCTGAAGGAGCCCAGTTAGCTTTTAGCACGTTTGCAGCATATTATATTCCACATTTCATCACATCCACCGCAGATGCTTCGAGACACTGGAATAGCCTGGACCGAATTCTGTGCCTCTCACTGGTCCAAGTTGTTGCATTGAATCTTAATTAGTCAGATTTACTGAAAACGGTCCACATAAAAATAATTATCTTCCCTCTTTACTTACACAGAATAAAACTGTATAGTGGAGAAGTTTTCTTCAAAAGGCACACTGAACTTCTATTAGGAAATATTTAAGGGATATTCCCTGGTATCATTTTTTCAAAGACTTAATCAGAGAAGAGTGAGGAAATATCAAGTGATTAAAATTATGTCCATGTGCTAATAGAGRAAAAGTCTGCCCAAATGATGTCCCAAAATTATGTTTGCCTTTTGAGAAAATGTTTTCAAAGACAGGAATAGAGAAGTGATTTTACAACTATACAGCTACCAAACAGCTTTTATGGCCAAAACCCAACATAAGGACTATAAAGCAACACGAAATTATCTGAATAAATTCCAATTGAAAATGAAAAAAATAGAGGACAACTCACAGTCTCTCCCCAAGGAAATTAATATTTTGGAGGCGACAAGTCAGAAGGAAAGGCTCAGCTCCAAACCAGGCAACTGGTTTGAAGACTCACCAATGTGACTGACAGTAGCTCGAATAAACCCAATAGCATCAACCTTCTGGATGCAGGGAAGCTCGTTAGGATTTTTACTGCATTCCTCCAACTTTTTCATATTCTGGCTCACTTATTAACTTTAGGAAAGGCTATGAGAATGATTTTAAAGATCCATTAGGGCTAAACTCAGCCAACAGTGAAAGCACTAGAGAGCCTGATGCTCCCAAACTTTCTCATTCCGAATGCATTAGGATAAATGTCAGCTTTTAAGAATATCTAAATGATGGATAAATGGACAAGAGGAAAAGTAATGACCTATCATCTGCTTTGCCTCTGGATAAGTAGGTAAATGGAGCTTATGCCGTCTCTGATGCTGGTCTAAAGCCATCCACACACATTTTTTGTTGCTGTTGTTGCTTTTGTTTGCAATATTTAGCATTAAACCTATGCTACCTACATTTCCCTGCCAGGCAATGTCCACATGCACCAGCACGTGTGTCAGAAGGTCTCTCATGCAGGAGATTCTGGGTTCTCTAAAATAACGAACAAAAACCACTAAGCTCTGTGCTACTTCCAGGGTATAGGAATATTTCTGTTAATATAAAGGAACTTTGTATTTCTACTACTTCTACAGAGCAAATTTTAACGAAAGGTCAGAGAGAATGGGTTTAACGTAACTCTTCAATAGCCCATACCTGTTGGCCAACGACAGACTACAATCTGGGAGATGATCTGGGTCATTACGGATGCATAGGAAAAAAGGGCTMAATAAGGAAAAGCTGGAAGAGCAAAGCCAGCAGGCGGGAAGTGGCAGCTGGTGACAGTTCCCACGCAGGAGGAGGCAGCAGGACACGCATTATCGGTGCCCCTTCTTTTTCACTCAATTGGCTGGGTTCTGCTCACTGTGGAGGGTGACCGCAAACTCATGCAGGCATCAATTTACATTTGGTTCATATTTTTCTGAGGTTGTCTCTGCAGCCACAAGAGGCAAAAAATACTTTTTTTTCCCCCCTCCCTTTAAATTAATGAAAGCTGAGATTTTGAAGTGAGGAGAAAAATCTGTAGCATATTGTGCTACTATGAAGTCTTGGAATGCACAAGGGCCCAGAACAAGAGCTGCTGCAGATGCAGACAGTAAAGAATTATTCAGGTTTCATGAATAAGTTGCCAAAAAAGTGAAGGCACAAACAGGACGAGAACAAACCTCTTTCTTTCTTTTCTCATTTTCACAGTATCTGGTGGTAGGACCCCTGGCACCAGCAAGAGAACTGTGACCAAAGGACCAAAGACTGGACTCTTTTTTCCATGTACAAACTATTTTTGTTAGGGACGAGCTTGCAGAACACTCATCTCTATTGGACATCCCCCAAAAAAGCAGCACCAGGACCATGCTGTGGCAGCAATCCCATCCTCATAATCTATAGTAGCTTTCTAAGAAAGAGGTTTATTTCTCATTTAATTAGATTTCTAGAAGTAGTTTTCAATACATGAAAAATTAAATGAAACCTGATATAAATTGATTATAAATAAATCAGATATGGTGAGCATATCTTTCATAACTTACTTTAAAAGTTTGAGCACAAAAAAACTACACATGGGACTCATTTTCCTAAAARGATGCTGAAAAAAAATCCAATCTATCTTACTAAGTTACAGCAAAAAGGATTTTTTTTTCTCTTTAGACAGAAGAAACACATCTGAAGAAAAATTATAGGGCTCAGACTTGTGAAGGTTTTGCTCATGTTATAGTTAGGCTTGTCAAAGTGTATTTGCTGAGGAACTGGAAGCATGAGAATTTCAATGTAACAGTGTCCCAAAGTGCAGAACACGTTATATTCTAGCACAAGTGCAAAAAACACTTCACAAGACTTGAATTCTGATGGTCCACCACACAAATCAGCTTTAAAACACTCGCTCAGCAACACACAAATTCAACAACAGAGAGGAGTTTGCCTCAGTAGAAGTGTTAACGACAGTCCAACTCTATCAGGCTAAAACAAAAGCAATGTACCTTGTGTTTTCAAACACAAAATCGCTATGCATCTGAAGTTAAAAGAAGCTTCAATCACCACCTTGACATCAGTTTGCACTAAGTTTTTTGCAGCCTTGAGAATCGCTGCAATTAGGGAAGTTATTGAGTAGCGCATTAAGTGGGACACTCTCACATTGACTGTAAGGTCACTGTTTTCCATCACAGTGAAAAGAAAACACTCAACGAATAAATGCTGACATTTCATCTCAACTTGTGTCCAATTATTTGGGGATTATTCTTTCTTATTTGTACCTTTTCCACCATGAAGATGGCATTAGAATATGCCAAGTCAACTTCTTTATTATGCTACTCACCAAATCATTCCCTGTAGAAATGAGAACTCGATCAAATCAAATTTTAAAGGCATATCCATTAGTTCTGCTAATTTTTCCTGTCAAGAAATCCATCTGGAAACGCACTTAGAAAACAAGTGCATTTTTTAAGGACTAGTCTGCAATATTACTATGATTCAATGGAAAGGAAATAAAACGGTCCTGAAGAAAGTTCTGTCTGTTTTTTTGGCAATGACAATGTGCCCCATCAGCCAAGTTTTGACAAAACTATTCCCGTATGAGCATCCAAAGGAGCCCTATGAAACTACTCAAGTTTTGTTTGGTTCTCCAGTTCTCCCAAATACCACTGTTCCCATCAGCCACTGATTAATCCAGCGCTTCATTCCAAAATGCAATTACCACATTGACCTTTTGCCACTGTGGAAACGAGGAAGCCTATGGGTCTGGGCTCTATAATCACCGTTTTGTCCTAATTGTTGCCTTAAAACACACAGGCTTTATGCGTTGGCCCGGAATCCAGTCTAGATATTGCCTTTTACTGAAATTCAGAAAATATGCAGTAAAAATGTCATTATGGTGAAGAAATGTTCTTGTGACATAGTAAAGCCCGGACAAAGAAGTTGTGAAGAATTCTTCACTGTGCAGCTTTTGCCAAAAATATACTGTAAGAATCCAAATCTACACTGTTACTCTCCCAAGTTCTGCCTTCAGGCAGTTATTCCCTGCTTTCTGAAAATAAAAGAGAGATTTTAACATGATATGAAAAATCTTTTGAGACTGTAGAAACGGGTGTATAGAGCAGATATGCTTAATACCAACACATTGTTTACCCTGTCTCAAAGCTCTTCAGGGCAAGCAAAGCATGAAAAGAAAGAAAGAAGAAACTCAAAGCCACTAAAAGTTGTATTGTGAATACATGTAAGTATATGTATGTATGTATAAAGAGATGTATATTGTAAAGATATGATATATCTCCAAAATACTTTGCTGATTTAAGCTTTCCACAGTTCTTGGTAACTGGAACATGTATTTTTTTCAAGCATTATCATTTCTGTCATGACCATGTTTAGGAAATAAGCATCATCACTGCTTTCAACCATCATCAAGGATCCTGTAAATGCTTCCTCTCCCTTAGAGGGCACGGGGAACCAGGTAATGGCCACTTTTTCTGGCCTGTACTCACCTGTAAACATTTTTGTAACAGCTTTACTTTGCTTGCGGGCGGAACACAGAAGGAGCAGCCAGGGAGGGAAGAACTCAAAGTGCCCGGCCAAAAGCTCTGCTACTGTCCCAGACAAACTCGTCGAGGTCTGTTCACCCTCCGAGACGTTACAGCCCTCGTCGACCGAGTCCACGAGCAGGAAGAGGCTCTGCTGAGGGGGCTTCATTCCCAAAAGGGGAAGCAGGATGCACCTGTTTGGAACATGAGGGAAAAATAAATAAATGAAGCAGTATTTTAGATACCTTTAATAATGCAATAACAAGTAGACAGTCTTTCAAGTCAAGGTGAAGATCAACTTAAAAATGCTAATTTTTACATAGTCTAAGGTTTTTTTTTTTAAATAGTTACCACAGAAAATACCGAAGTAGACTGAACTCACACAGTCTGAGTAATCACAATATARGTATTATTTAGACAGTATTATTTTTTAATGAATTTAAGATATATAACACCRCTTCAAAAATCATGTTGTTCATGGGTCAGTAAAAGAATTTGAAGAATTTGGTTTAGTAAGGAGGAAGTTACTTGCGCCAAAGTCTAGGAAGTTCCTTACTGCTGTGTGCTGAACCTGTGATTATTGCTTCTCAGGAGCTAATAGAGAGTAACAGCTGGGCATGAAACAAAAATCTCAATAAAACRTACCTGACATAATTAAGCAGAAAGTTCTAGCGTTTACAGTTTTACAGAGSTGAATTCCTGCACTTTGCTGCCACACTTTCACAAATGGAATGGCAATGCATCTATAGGCAAACTCAGGTATTCCAGAGAGTCTTGGGGGTATTAATTTTTATTTATATTGAGATTGCCAAGTTCTATTACTGAAAAAGGATTGTACTGCATGCAAAGTAGGCCATGCACCTCAAAAGTCTATACATATGTACTTTAAAAACAAAGGAAAAAAAAAAAATCTCAAGAGCATAGGAAAGAAAATCTCAAGAGCAAAGGAAAGAAAAAAAAAATCTCAAGAGCATAACAATCTTCATTAGTTTTACTGAACAAATTTATTTTTGGAACACTTTAGCCAACACATTCATCATTACCTACCAACCATTCACAAATTAATGTCTTGGCAAACCCTACCTGTTATGGAAAGAACACAACTCACTCTGCAGAAATGGTTTGTAAGCACTGTTAATAAAAGCATCTTATTTTCTGTATTTTTTTTGACTGAGAAGAATGAGAAATGAAGAGTGTTGTGCATCTTTGCATGTTCTGACGGTAACAACAGAATCTTGCTTAACAGATGTGTGACTTAGTACACTTAGAGAATATTTCCCAAGGGATAAAAAGGAAGTGCAAAACACCTGAGTTCTTGAAGTATTCAATATTAGATGAATTTTAACACTATCTAACACTGGGGCCTAACACTGGCCCCTATTTTTTTCTGATTCAAAAGACTTCTTTGAAGAATTCGCAAGACTTTGGGACTTCCACAAAGCTAACCGCTCCTCTAGAAAATGCCTCAAGTGCAGCTAGCTAAAATCACTGTGCTCTAATCTGGGAAATGAAGCAGCTACCAACTTACAGAACAGGAAATTTAAGTAGCCATAAGGTTAAAATCGCTGTTTTAAAAGACACCAATCCCACAATGAAAGGAGGCAGATAAAAAATTACTCCATTTTCTACCCCTCACCCCACCAGAACACTGCCTTGCCCCCTCAGCTATTTATGTCAAAGCAGCTTCCCTGCACTGCTTCTATCAAAATAAGTTTTCGTATCATCCCCTCTGTGAGGTTAGTTTTCAAGTATAAAAGTCACTTCAAGATRTAAACAACTGGTAGTGGTATCTTAAGCTAGGAGATCACTGAAAATCCCAGTGACCTTACCAAAAAACAATAAAAATACCTTAGTAATATTTGACAAAATACTTGTTAGTATTTACTTGTTGGGAATACTGTCAAAAAAAGTGTCATGTTTGGGGGAAAAAAAGTATTTTGCTTAATTGCTACAGTTTGTAGCAGCTGGCTGCAGTAGGTGCAATYGCCTCCACAAAACTATGGATATCCAGCAGGCTGGAGGAGGAGCACGGTGCTGTACACACAGCCTCAGGTCACACTGGAATGCACCTACTTCCTAAAAACATATCCTCCACAAAGTCAAAACAGGTGCCCACCAAAAGACACCAGACAGAAGTTCATGAGCAGTTTTAGAAGCAAAGGAAATAATAAAGCCCAGTTTCTTATGGTTGTATTTGATTGACTTTGGTGCACAGAAAGGTCAGAGTTAAGTCCTCACTTATGTTTGTTGTTTTTTTTTTTCCTGAAGCTGCGATATTTGGATTTTTTTTCTTCCATTAAAATTCTTTTTTCCCCTTAGGTGGCAACATAAAAGCATTGCACTGAGTGTACTTTTGTCCTGTGGGCCAGACTTCAAATGTGCAGTGTCATTGCTTGGATCTGTTGGGGCTGTGATTTCAATGGCTGCACAAACTTCATGAGGTTGGAAGGAACAGGCTCTCCTTAGCAGCACTGCAAGGAAAAAGCCTACAGGACATGACGAACACTACAGCAGTAAYGGATACTTCCCAAAGCGATGCTTAGAAATGGGGCTACCAGCCTCGCAGTAATGATGCTCATCACCAAGGCTGCTATCGTGCTATACTTAAACTAATCTGTCTCCCATATTCTGTTATGAAAGTGGAGATTCCTACACTTGGGATCACTAGCACCTCAGTATGAGATCTCTGAATAAACTCTTTGCTTCTAAAGACCACCTGTGTTTCAAAACAAAACAGAATCAAACSCCAAACCACCAGCATTCGTTACCAGTGAGATATGTGGTGTGTTTTATTTACAGCAATAGCTAATTACCAGCAACACGACGGAGCTGGTTAACTGCCMTCAGCATTCGACTGGGATTTGAACAGTTGAACAGGATTCACTGGGATTTGGTTGAATTTACTGTTCTATTGGCAACAAAAAAAAAAATGCCAGTACAACCTTATTAAAAAAGAAAGTGATACATGAGAGAGACTGTACAGTGCTCTCCCTGTTATGTGACCAGAATGCCCCGTACTTCTGCACTATTTGCTACACTGCAAAATTGGACATTGGAACCTTTGATCCAAATCATTTTTGAAGATTAAGGTAACAGAAGAAAGATGCTGCTACATTTATGTGTGTGTGTAGCTAGAGAGAGTTGAATTTTTCTTCCTTTTGTTTTTCAAACTGAATAGGACATACAGGTCACAATAAAAGAAGAAAAGGTAATTTCCTCTTCCGATAAAAATGACAAYTGCAGCTGCTTGGTTGATAAGTACTAACCTTTCTGAGAACACCTCCAGCAGCTGAATTCCTACAGAACTGAAAATGAAAGAGAGATCATTGCAGGTCTGTTTTTAGATTAGTGGGTTTTACTTTGCCCTGTAACAAAGCATTTATGTCCTACGGATCACTGATAACAACAGTCTATTTACCTGGATGTTAATCCATTCTCAGGAATGATTAGGGGGGTCTGAATTATAGATTAAGACAAAATTTTACTGATAAAGCCCAGCACCTGTAGCACGCACAGTGTGTGCTTTGTGTCTTACCAGTTGTTCAGCTGGTCAGAATATGATAACAGAGTTTACAATATTCCAGAAAAGACACACGCACACATACAGCACTCGATTGGCAATGCCATTCTGAAAATACTGTGGTTTTGAAACTTGAAAGTATTTCTACAATTAAAATGCTGCAATGCAGAACATATTGCTAAATATGGGGAAAGTTAAACTGTCTGGTTTTGCTCTACATACCTACCTGCATATTCACATATGGCTTCAATCAGCCTATTGGAGTAGCTGTTGCTTAATTTTCAACATGATAACATGCATCTGTAACTATTTATGACCTTCTCACAAAGTACAATACTGAGATTATATACTCACTATTTGTGCACTATCTCATAATATACATTAGCGTGTTAAGTCAACTATTGATTTTTCAGAAAACTCAGGGGCTGCACAGAAAGCGGAACTGCTCAGTTGTAACCAACTGAAATTAGTTTTATGAAGAATGAGCTGGAAAGCAGAAAACAAAAATTAAATTGAGAATTGCTTATTCGGGAAGCTCCAAGACCGAGGCATGAAGATAAATTTAGGCTATGGTCTTTCCAGACAGAGGCGGTCTATTGGGCACAGCAGAAGGGCCTTGCTGTATAATTCAGTGCCTCATTTCACAATGTCTTGTAGTAACCTGAATTTTATTGGTAACCGTGAAGCAGATTTGTAGCCCCACAAGAAAGCACAAAAGCTCCTCACAGAACCACCCTCTCAGCGCCAACAGTCGCACAGAAGCTGAGACTGGGCTCTCATTAGATGCCTCCTATTAGCCCCCRTAAATATATAAGTGATTCTTGCTTATAAAGCACTGCTCACAGATCTACAGACTAGTGGATGTACCAGAAAACACACAAAATACAAACCTTAAGAATATTTTCACCTAACAAGAGGCGTGCTGCCTACAAAGTACGCTCTAACTGTGCATCTAAGACGCAGTAGCTGCATCCCCTACCAATGGCAAAAAGTGGGAGGGCACAGGAAAAACACAAATGATTTCCTAGATGCAGTAGTTCAAAATAGTGATTTAATCCCTAAGTTCTGTTTTTAGGAACTGAGCAGTCACTAGTCCACTTTCCTGCCTAAAACCAGAAGAGGTACTCGGTCATCACTCCAGAAATACATCAGCCCAACTAACGCCTTCTTAGACACATCCAAATATCAACCTACCAACGATCAACTCCCTCCCCCAGCAACTTATTTCAGCGCTTCAACATTCTCACCCTTAGAAACAGCTTTTCCCTTACCCACAGCTCTAACCTTAACTTGTATTTCTGCAATTTAAGGCTATTCTTGTCCTGTTCACCAGGGMGACACAAGTGTCATGCCGAGGAAGTTGATACTGGCCCTAACTTATAACCTGTTCCTCCCATTTAGTCAGCCAGGTCACTGAGGAAAACACTGCTAAAACACAAACCCAGGGCAGACTTCTATGAAATGCGACCCGATGCACCCAAACACACCAACAATAATTACTCACTGGGTAGTTACTCAACTCATTTCACATGTAGCTAAAYACACTTCTACCTAGAACATAGCCTGTTTATGCAAATGTCATATAAATATCATCAAAGCCTTTCTGAAATCAAAACATGACATTTACTGCCTCTTCCTTATCCACAAGTGCTATTACACTGTTGGAGAACAGAA